TATTCAATTGTATCAGGCTGGAAAATGACCAGCTAAATCCAGCTAAAACCAGCTTGACCAGCCTAGTTTAAGCTGGACATAGCTGGTTTTGGCTGGGCTTCCAGCCTGGCTAGGCTGGTCAAGCTGGTTTTAGCTGGTCATCTCCCAGCCTGACCAGCTAAGACCAGGTTGGAAATGGCTGGAAACCAGCCTGGAAATGGCCCAAACCCCTCTAAAACCAGCCTGGTCGACCAGCTAAAACCAGCCAACCAGCCTAGGCTGGTTTAAGCTGTTTTTTTCAGTAGGGTAACAGGGTGAGAATGTGGTCAAATCTGAAAACGTGGTAAAAATCAGGCAAGGGCTTTTCGTTTTCTGGATTGCTTTTGAAAACACTGTTGGTTTGGTTTAGAGAAGGGGGTGGGCACTGGTCAATCAGTGTCTTTTAAAACAGTTTGACTTTAGGGAAGGGGGTGGGTGGGTGTCGTCGGTCAGTCAGTCGACAGCAGCCTCTGGTGGATTTATGCAAAAACAGCAGGCAAAAATGTCATTCGCAAGAGCAACATGAATCTTACAGAGGCCTTTGGTGGATTCGCAAAAACAAAAAGCTGCAAAGAAATGTAGCTCCTGGGACATATTTGGCGCTCTCCAGAAATGTATATTGAGTTACATTTTCAGAATGAGCCTGGGTTAGCTTTGTGGCATGCTACATTATCCTGCTGAAGACGGGTTTTCTGTGGTCAGATAGAAAAGGAGATGGTCAGCAATAATAGTGATGTAGCCTGTGATATGATGCTCAAATGATACTAAGAAGCCCAAAGAGAAAACATCCCCAATACACAACCAGCTGAATCAACGGCTTATTTAAGGCAGGACTGACTCCTGCTTTCATGTCGGCAACCTGAGCTCATCCGCTTCAAGGTAAGTTGTGTTCAGAGCTGCTCTTCTGCACACCTCAGCGGCTTATCTGAGTTTCTGTCAGCTAAAGTCTGGCACCAACAAACATGACAGTTAAATCAGCTCAATTTCAACTTTTATGTGACTAACCTGAGTCCAACCTGAGATTATCCGTACGCAAGGCATACTCTGACTTAAAAGTTCCAAATGTAAGTAAAAGTATAACTCAGGGGTCGGCAACCCAAAATGTTGAAAGAGCCATATTGGACCAAAATAACAAAAAACAAATATGTCTGGAGCCACAAAAAATGTAAAGCCTTATATAAGCCTTATAATGAAGGAAACACATGCTGTATGTATCTATATTAGCTATATTAGCCTACTATCAAAATGACTAAATTGGCTACAAATACATAATGAGCCTTCATGATTAAATAGCTTAGATTAAATTAAATTTGTTGTCATGTAAACACTTCAGCACAGCCTCTGGTCTTTTAGTGTTATTAATTTGATCATTTCTTCTTGCGGCCCATCAGAGTTCACATACCTGCATAAAAGCGCGTTGAATATCGGTCACATCACAGGCAATTGAGTATGCTGGCACTGAATTAATGTCCTTGGTTTGCTGATCGGTGATATTACCTACCATTTTATTAGCCCTTTACTTCACTGTCTTAGTGGAGAAAGGTATATCTTTATTTTTTTGAATTATCTTGGTTTTGTTTTTAAAGTTTGCAAATAGGTGTTCTAATATGTCATACCATCTTTGAACGGTTTTCCATGCGTTATAATCTCCTGGTTTGTTTACAACAGCCACCTGCCTGGCATCCCGCCCTGCTGATAGAAACGTGTGTCGCAGGCTATGACGCAAATCTTCGTTGACAGAAATGTTGAAATTAAACATTAATTCTACACACTTTGACAGCATTTGAAAACGTTAAAAATGTTTGTCCTCCTATAGAAACCATATTAAAACAAAAAATATATTAACCTCCCCCATCTTTTTGCATTTTCAAACATTTTTGAAAAAGCTCCAGGGAGCCACAAGGGCAGCGCTAAAGAGCCGCATGCGGCTCTAGAGCCGCGGGTTGCTGACCCCTGGTATAACTAAATGTTTTTTCACCCACAGTGATGCCTACATCGTCTTATCTTTTGAGAGAAGCATTTTTCATTTCCAGTGTCAAAACATCTACAGTAGCTGGTTGAATAAAAGTACAATTAAGTCAGGATTTGCTAGGAGTACGAAAAATTTCAGGCTTGACTATACACATCAGAAAAAATGAATTGCGTAATAAGAGTGGAATGACACATGGAGAAAGCACTGAACTACTGATATGTATTTAATAATTTGTATAAATGACTTTTTTGGTGCTGGCAGCTTGAAGACACCTCTTGTATAAAGAATAGAGTCACGTGTATTACTCCGGTGTGATTTTATCCCCCCAGACTTCAACATGAACTAAAAAAATCTTGACAATTCTGTTGGATTTGTCTATATACTTGAATCTCTCGTTCTTATTTTCTATTGCATTCAGGTCAGGTGATTGGCTTGGCCATTCTACAGCTTGATTTTCTTTCTTTGAAAGCCTTTGAGAGTTTCCTTGGCTGTGTGTTGGGATCATCGTCTTGCTGAAATATCCACCCTGGTTTCATCATCATCATCATCTGATGTGCTACAATTCACACAGCCTCACCAAAACTGGACAATAGTAGATTTGAGAAACGTGGCCTGCTCTGATGAGTCTCCATTTCTACTGACACATTTGGATGGAGAATTTGGCATCAACAGCATGAAAGCATGCACCCATCCTGCCTTGTATGAGCAGTTCAGGCTGGTGGTGGTGGTGTAATGGTGTGGGGGAGATTTTATTGGCACACTTTTGGACCCATTACTACCAATTGAGCATCGTGTCAACACCACAGTCTACCTGAGTATTGCTGCTGACCATGTCCATCCCTTTATGAGCACAGTGTCTCCATCTTCTGATGGCTACTTCCAGCAGGATAACGCACCATGTCATAAAGCGTGAATCATCTCAGACTGGTTTCTTGAACATGACAATGAGTTCACAGTACTCAAATGGCCTCCACAGTCACCAGAGCTCAATCCAATAGAGCATCTTTGGGATGTGGTGGAACGGGAGATTGGCATCATGGATGTGCAGCCGACAAATCTGCAGCAACTGTGTGATGCTATCATGTCAATATGGAGCAAAATCTCTGAGGAATATTTCCAGTACCTTGTTGAATCTACGCCACAAAAGATTATAAGGCCGTTCTGAATGCAAAAGAGGGTCCAACCCCGTTACTAGTAAGGTATACCTAATAAAGTGACTGGTGAGTGTATATACCCCATATTTTACCCATAAGGAAAAAAAAGCCTATATGGTAATTGGCAGGACTTAAAAATTAGGAAGATAAATATTTAGATGAACAACATTGGATAACATTGTACACCATGTTGTTATCTAACAAACAAAAACAAAGCCAAGATAGAACAGCCATGAGTGGACCGAGGACAGTCTTCGAATCAGAATGAGCTGTGGACTACTGAAAAACATGATGTTTTCCTTTTCTTTTTAAGCTGTTCTGTTGTAGATTTAAGGGTGACACAGTGGCTCAGTGGTTAGCAGGAAGGTCGTTGGTTCGAGTCCCGGCTGGGCTTTGTGTCTTGGCATGGGTTTCCTCCGACGGCTCCTGTTTCCCCCACAGTCCAAACAAATGCGCTATATGGGGAATTGATGAACTAAATCGTCCGTAGTGTTGGAGTGTGAATGAGAGTGTATGGGTGTTTCCCAGTGTGGGTCGCAGCTGCAAGGGCATCTGCTGTGTAAAACATATGCTGAATAAGTTGGCGGTTCATTCCGCTGTGGCGACCCCAGATTAATGAAGGGACTAAGCCGAAGGAAAATGAATAAATGAATGTTGCAGATTTGCTGTGGTGCTTGGGGTCATCCTAAATGAAAGCTGGGGGTGAGCAAATCAAACAAAAATGTACAGATGAGATCGTACAAATTCATTCGATTTAACAACTAAACCAAAATGTTATGAATCACAATCCAATTTTGTCTGAGCTTCATCGTCAGGCTTTGATCTTGATTGTAGCATTTTGGTGACTGTCGCTTTAAATTCAAATGAGATTGTGCTCTTTACAGAAGAGGGTGGAGCTATAAACAACTGTGTGTCAGCATAGCGGCAGATTCAAAAACAAGACTGACGAAAGATGGTCACTAGTGGGCGGGGCTTTCCCCCTCTGATGACACGTACAAAGGGAGAATGTCAATCAAAGTGTTTCAGCAGACGTCTGATTATATCAAGTCTGACAATAAATAAAAGAATGAATACATTTTTATCATTAGAAGCTGTTTATATTCACACACTGCTGACACACAACTGTGTTTAAACCCCTTATAAAAGTGATTTTTGCATAACAGGTCCCCTTTTTAAATGCAAAAACAAATCCTGCAATATCAGTATGCTTGTTCCTCAACAGTTTCAAGTCACACATCAGTACCAGAATACTGAAAGAGTATTTAAATTTTAATATTTAACAGCGATGCGAGCAACTGATGGAGAATGAAAGCAAGAAAAGATCACCAAGGCTTTACAGAAGCATCATGTCGCAGTCACAAAGAATCAAGCACACAGAGATCTGGGCAGCTCAGACTCCAGAAGATCTTCTTGAGGTGTTTTCAGCACAGGGGTTTTTCCCGCGTCTCATGTTCAGAGCGCACTTTCGGCCCAGGTTAGTTCCCTCCATCAGCAGGTCAGCCAGCCGGTCCATACCCAAGCAGACGATGAGCGGGGCGAAGAGGGTATACAGACTCCCCAACATGATGCTCAGGGGCCAGCCGAGAATCAGTAGAACCAGCAGCCAGATCACAGCCCAGAAACACGAGCTACATGACATGATCACCTGAGGACCACAAACACACCGCTCATATCAGAAATAACAAGAGTTCATCATTCACTCAAATAACTCTGAGTCTTTTTGTGAGGTGTATGTGTGTGTGTGTGGGGGGGGGGTAGCTTATAATAATAATAATAATAATTATTCCTTACATTTATATAGCGCTTTTCTGGGCACTCAAACACAATAGGGGGGAATTTCCTCATCCACCACCAGTGTGCAGCATCCACCTGGATGACGCGACGGCAGCCATTTTGCGCCAGACCACACACCAGCTGATTGGTGGAGAGGAGACAGAGATGAAGCCAATTGGAATATGGGGAGGGTTAGAAGGCCATGATGGACAGAGGCCAGGGGGCAGATTTGGCCAGGATGCCGGGGTTAAACCCCTACTCTTTTCGAAGGACATCCTGGGATTTTTAACGACCACAGAGAGTCGGGACCTCGGTTTAACGTCTCATTCGAAAGACGGCGCTCACTGAGCAGTATAGAGTCCCCTTCACTATACTGGGGCATTAGGACCCACACAGACCGCAGGTTGGGCGCCCCCTGCTGGCCTCACTAACACCACTTCCGGCAGAAACCTAGCTTTCCCATGTGGTCTCCCATCCAGGTACTGACCAGGCTCAGCCCTGCTTAGCTTCAGTGGGCGACCATGTGAGAATTGCAGAGAGCTAGCTGCCAGCTTAATTGTTAGGAACACTTTACAATAAGGTTGTATAAGTTCATGTATTTACCAACATGGAAAAACAATGTGTGTGGAATTCTGGCAGGTGCTCCCGTTGCCCACAAAGTCCAAACGGAAATTTAGGGCCCTATCATACACCCGGCGCAAGGCGCGACACAATTGTTGTTTGCTAGTTTCAGCTTGGCGCAGGAGTCATTTTGACGTTTTGCGCTACGCTGTTTAAATAGCAAATGCGTTTGCGCTCATATGTGCGCCCATAGGTCTACAAAAGGAGGCGTGTTGAGGCGCATTGCTATTTTGAGGTTCAATAGACCAGATCAAATCAGGTCCAAAGTCCAGCGCATAGCACGTTAGTTGTGCGCCTCACTTACACACTGCTTAATACACACAAAATGTACAGCAATATGCAAATATCTTTATATATGAAGAAGAATAAAAGGATTAAAATATTACAAAAATGATTATTTTCTAGCCTACATCAATATAAACACCACCGCCTCCATGTCTTCTTCATCTCGGGGAGCTTTTTTAGTTTATTCATGACAATTTGCTTTTGTATAATGTTATTATTATTAGCAGTATTATTTTGGCGCGTTGCTATTTTGAGAAACTGTAAATAGTCTGTTCTTTAGACCAGAACAAATTCGGTCTATTGTCTGGCGCAAAGTGCGCCTGGCTTACACACTACACACAAGATGCAGAGCAATACGCAAATATCTTTACATATGAAAAAGATATAATATATTAATGATATATATAATAAGGATAAAAACCGGATATAAATTTAAATGATTAAAATATTACAAAACATTAATTTCTAGCCTACATGAAGATTTAAAAACCACTGCCTTCATACTTTCTTCATCTCAGGAGGCTTTTTCAGTTCATTCATAACAATTTGCTTTTGTATAATGTTATTATTATTAGCAGTATTATTTATTATATCCATATTTATATTTGTTTTATTAAAAACAAGCTTAGATTTGTCCACCTGTCAGGTTTTAGACCATATGGGGCACAGCATGTGTATTAGGATATAACTTTTTTCAGTTTTTTTTTACCACACTTCATTATTATTGTTCATTTATTTGTTTGCTGGAAATAAGAACTGAATTTAGAAATAGTTTTGAAACGAATCTTTGCATTTGACAAACAAAATTAATTATTTATAGGCTATGTCTGTGCGTACAAGGTTTCCTTATCCACGAGAGTGAAAGTGAAAGTAAATAATGAGGAGGCTCATTCTCTCATTCTCGCGCTGCAGATGCTCTGTTTAACTGTTTTATTGCTAGTGAAGTGTTCAGTTTTTACACCGACAAAGTCGCCATGTAAATAGCAAATGCACTATTGTGCGATGCAGCTGGCTCTTAAAGGGAATGGGAGATGAGACTCTGATTGGTTTATTCTCAAAACACACCTATAACTCACTAAGAAAATAAGCTCAACCCTTTTAGACCATGCGCCACGGTGCAAAGCGGATTTTTCTATCCTTAAAATAGCAAAAGTGGATTCCGATACGCCCTGAATGCTTTTGTGCCCTGATATTTGCACTTTGTGCATGGATCATCAAAATAGAGCCCTATATAACCAAGCATGTGCTGTTATTTAGGGGCGGCACGGATGGCTCACAGCAAGACGGTCGCTGGTTTGAGTCCTGGATGGGTCAGTTGGCATTTCTATGTGGAGTCTGCATGTTCTCCACATGGTCCTTTAATTCTTTTTCATATGTAAAGATATTTGCATATTGTTCATCCTGTGTGTATTAAGCAATGTAAATGCTTTTAAAGCGTATAACTAACGGACTCTGCGCTGGACTTTATGCCATTGACCAGCTGCAAGCGGGTCTAGTCTATTTTAGTTTCTCAAAATAGCAACGCTGTTTAGCTTTACAGTGCGTGCGTCAAAGATGTAATCATTGATGTAAGCCTGCTAACTGATCAAATGACAGAATGACTTATATATGCAGTTGAAGTCAGAATTATTAGCCTCCCTGAATTATTAGACCACTCGTTTATTTCTTCCCTAATTTCTGTTTAACAGAGAGAAGATTTTCTTCAGAACATTTCTAAACATAATAGTTTTAGTAACTCATTTCTAATAACTGATTTATTTTCTCTTTGCCATGATGACAGTAAATAATATTAGACTAGATATACTTCTAGAGGCTTCTATACAGCTTAAAGTGACATTTAAAGGCTTAACTAGGGTAATTAACTTAACTAGGCAGGTTAGGGTAATTAGACAAGTTACTGTTTTGTTTTTACTGGTTTGTTCTGTAGACTATCGAGAAAAAAATATAGCTTAAAGAGGCTAATAATTTTGTCTCTAAAATGGTGTTTAAAAAATTAAAAACTGCTTTTATTCTTGCTGAAATAAAACAAATAAGACTTTCTCCAGAAGAAAAAATATTATCAGACATACTGTCAAAATTCCCTTACTCTATTAAACATCATTTGGGAAATATCTAAAAAACAAGAAAAAATTCAAAGGGGGGCTAATAATTCTGACTTCAACTGTATTTAATTTATAAGTACTTATACCACATGCTAGGAAGATATATATATATATATATATATATATATATATATATATATATATATATATATATATATATATATATATATATATATATATATATATATATATATATATATATATATATATATATATATATATATATATATATATATATATATATATATATATATATATATATATATATATATATATATATATATATATATATATATATATATATATATATATATATATATATATATATATATATATATATATATATATATATATATATATATATATATATATATATATATATATATATATATATATATATATATATATATATATATATATATATATATATATATATATATATATATATATATATATATATTTATATATATATATATATATATATA